AAACAGAGGGAATCAAAGCCTATGTTACACAATGACAGAATACTTAAGTTCTTAGTGTTGGTGGTTCCATTAAACACTTGCTAAAAGATTTGAAAATGGCAATTGCATTGGAGTTGTTTTGTATTAAGTTCTAGTAATGTGGGAGCTGGCGGCTGAAGAAACCCAGGTGAAGTAGTTTGTGTGAGAACACATGAAATATACCATAATAGTGACTTACGGCTTTCTGTCATATTGTAAGTAGGAGTGGATACATGTGGATTTCTTTTATTATTGGGGTTTGTTGTAGCTTTTAACTTAGTCACTTACCGGAAAATATCAGGCAATAGCAGAATTTGTTTAATACTCTGGATCACATGCTAAATGGAAATATTTGAATCCTGATTCACTGTTGTGTAAGATTTCATCCAAGCAAGTAAATTTGAGGTATTCACTCTGATAACAAATATTGAGAAATTGCCCTTTCAGTGGAAGAAAAACAGACAACATGAAAGATCCTGCTTCTGTAAGCCTTGGTTCTGATTTTCCCCACACCTGGATTGCACAGTTCCACAGCCAGGGACTGTAGCTACCTTCACTGTAGCCAGTAGCATTAAGCTAGATCACTATCTTCTCAAACTAAATGTTTTGTTCACTCTTGTGTTAGTAAAGTAAACATCCTGAGATGCCTTGTCTGGGATCTGATTAGAAGGGAAGGAAAGTTTGGAATAAAGAATGAATGGTGAAGGAACAAACAGTCCAACAACTTCAGGACTCAGTGTCTCTTTTGAGTAGACTCAAGCTTTAAGAAAGCGAACACTAATAGAGTAACCGTAAAGTGTTACATTGCACATAAAAAGTTCAAAAGTATTTCCCCTTAAGTGTTCAAGAAGGGGAAATAAAGAAAAAGATGGCACCTGGACTCTTCATCTTACCACATTACCCTCTGTCCCATAGCTTGGACATTTCAAGGAGTCTAACACTGAAGGATGGGTGAATAACAAGCCTGGGGCTCTGAGATTTGCACCTTTATGGTAACTTAATTTTAAATTTACGTCTCGCATCAACTTTCCACATAAATATACTCATCTGAATTGTACAACTCAATGAGCCTTGACCACAATACTATTCGCCATCTGCAAACAAGACACAGTATTCCCACTGTGGCCTCCCCGAAGTTTCCTTGTAGCCCTTTGTGGCTCATCTGCCTACATAGGCATTTCAAGACAATCTAGATCTGCCTTCTCCTTTCAGGTTGCTTCTATAATCTATAATTTTATTGATTTATTTTCCATATATTTTTATGAGTGTGTGAGAGTCACACAGAGAGAGAGAGAGAGAGAGAGAGAGACAGACAGAGACAGAGACAGAGACAGAGAACAAACAACTTGAAGAGGGTCTGATCTCTACTCTCTACATATGGGTCCCAGGGCCTGAGCTCAGGTTGTCAAACTTGGTGGCAAGCTCTGTTACCCACGAATACAGCTCGCCAAGCCATTCTATAATTCCATATGAAGCCCTCCTAACCCACCCCACCCCACTGCCTAACCCACAGCTTTAGTTACATAGGATCAATAATAGTTTGACAGTATTACATGAAAAATTCTAGAAATAATCATAAGCTCTCTCTCCACTGTGCAACAACGATTTTGAAATATGAAGTGTTTACTACTTTTTTAATAGATGGTATCCCACTGAATTTATTTAAAAAAAAATTATACCTGCCCCAGAGGATGGACATGTCATTTGAAATACTGTAAATCCTCCAGATATGTTTGCATTCTTTTCAAATAAATAAGAGATTTTCTAGTTAATATGCTGTACAAAAATTGAACAGTATAAAAACAATAGCAAGGCTGTTTTCTAATGTAATTGGCCCACTTTATACCTCCCCTAGGGCTGAATGTGAACTCCAATCTTACCCTCAGCACATCACAATAAAGTCATCTGCTAGAAGGGCAAATTCATACCCTCAGCATATCACAATGATATCATCTGTTAGAAAGGCATCTTCATGAGAGTGAGGTCCCAGCCTCTGACCTGGTAGCAGCTCAGAGGTAGGTTTGAGCTACAGGCTCTGAGCAGCATCAGTGAGAGGCCCAAATCCCAGCCTGGAAGAAGCATCAGAGAAAGGCCTGAGCTTCCTGCCCAGAGCAGTGTCAAGGGGGAGCCTCAGAGCAGGAGCAGCATCAGAGCCCAGAAGCAGTGTCAGAGAAAGGTTTTGGCTGTGCCTGAGGGTGCTTTCCTTGAAGAGGAATGAAGGCCAAACCTTCCTCTCTGAATCTTATCTGTCTGCTCCATCTACCCTGCGTCATGGCCTCTCCTCCTTACCAGGCACCATGTGGACTTTAAGTCGCACCTTCTTTTAGGCAAAGGAAAACAGAGCTCTATCCTGACTGAGAAAGGAAAAGAGTGGATTGAGTGAGGGAGAGATTGAACAGAAAGAAACTTTGAACTTAATGAAAACAAAATGTGCCCAACAGCACATCCCCAGAGCAAGTTTTCCTTGACAAGCCAGGGCCCCTTCATTTCACTTAACTAGCAGGGAGAATAAACTGATGGGTGTGTCATAAAGGACCAGAGCACATGTGCTGACCTCACAGCTAACAAAATTCCTGCACCCCATTGGCATACAGGGACCCATCCATCAACCTCCAGCTAGCAGCAAGGACAAACAACATGGGCACAGCTGGAGAAGTAAGAAAAAAATTAAATTTTAATTTTAAAAAGTATTTTCAGAGTATCCTAGTGAAAATCTAATTTTTTTTATTTAGTTAAGGCTTTAAAATTGTAATTAATAATGTCACAATAACACGATATTTTATATTTAAGACAAAAATATTTCTTTCGTAAATTTAAAGATTATGTGATATAGGGAGGGGATTCTAAAAAAATATTTGAAATTATAAAAGAGTACATAGAATCTAGATCTGGAAATGTAGTCACTTCCTCATTAAGTTTGCAGTAGGGGAAAGTTATTCTAAGCCAATTGTAACTACTTTGTAAATAGGAAGTTTAAAAAAGATCTTTTATCAGTATTTATCCATAGTATACGAATGGATTTTGGGAGCCCTCTCCACATAGAGGAATATTCTCTCAGCCTAGATACACTGGGAGGGTCTAGGCCCTGCTCCAAATGATATGACAGACTTTGAAGATCCCCCATGGAAGGCCTCACCCTCCCTGGGGAGCAGAAAGGGGTTGAGATGGGGGATGGAGGGGCACCGGAATTGGGGGAGAGGAAGGAGAGGGAACAGGGATTGATATGTAAAAGAAGCTTGTTTCTAATAATTATAAAAACATCTATTAAAAAAGATCTTTTATGGAAAATTAAAAAATAGAGTGCTATTCTTTGTAATCCTATATTTTTGTTTGTTTGGTTTTTGGTTTTTTGAGACAGGGTCTCTCTATGGCTTTGGCGGCTGTCCTGAAACTAGCTCTTGTTGACCAGGCTGGTCTCGAACTCACAGAGTAATACTATATTTTTGTATGAAAAACAAAAGGTTAAGTCTGCCCAGAGTTTCATAACAGTATTTGACTCTGGGAACTTGGTAGGACTGTCCCTGCAACCATTAGATAAATTTCTGACAAGAGGTGGATTGATTTCAATGCTTTAGGTTCGGCCACAGTAAGATTACATTCCTGTACAATTGTGATTTGGACAGCTCACAAAATTTCTAGAAGTTCTGTAGAACAGTCTCTACTCCTAAGAAAAACTAAATCAATTGTCAACACTTAGAATACGCACATATGGTACTCAGTTTCTACAAAGTCACAGTTCTTTGTTCTATCTGTGTAGTACCATGACACAAAAGCAGTCATTCATCATAATTAACTGATTAGTGCTGTCAAACTGCTTAATTATAAAAGCCTATGTTATCCCAGCACTCGGAGGCAGAGGCAGGCGGGTCTCTGTGAGTTCAAGGCCAGCCTGGTCTCCAGAGTGCCAGGATAGGCTCCAAAGCTACACAGAGAAACCCTGCCTCGAAAAACTAAATAAATAAATAAATAAATAAATAAATAAATAAATAAATGCCTATGTTTCTGTTGGCACAGGCACTATCTTAGGAGTGGGTCAAAAGTCCAAAAGTTCACAGTGAGAACGAGGTATTGGAATGTTCAGAGGCTTCTGCTTACACAGTGTGACACCATTTCCTGTTGAAAGAATGGGTTGAGAATCACAGAAGGGACTGGTTGTCAGTATTTTTATTCTGATTAACTTTATGGTTATTTTTTTGGGTGGCATATTACATTTCAAAGAAAAGTAGCTAGGAAAAATAATGACTGAAAAGTTAATTGGGAACCCAATTACATCAAGCAAACAAGAATTGAGGGACCAGGGAATCCCAGGCTCTTAGGTACAGGGTCAATAACAGCACTGTGGTGATCACTGGTTTGTGTTTATATTGCTTAGAACAGCAAAATAATAATGTAACCAGGTATGGTAGAACATCTCAGAAATCCCAGCACTAGGAAGGCCAAGACAGAAAGGTTCCTAGTTCAAGGTCAGCCTGGGCTGCTTATTAGAATATTGTCTCAGAAATCCAAAGCCTGCGAGCTAACTCTGTGACAGAGTACTTGCCTGAATGCACAAAGTTCTGGGTTCTGTCCCCAACACTTCAAAAACACATTAATAATTATCATTAGAATTAAACATATACTCAATGGTTTTCTTCAGACAACCTCTTCCATAACAGTACCAGTGACTGTCAAGGAAAAAAATAGCTCTTTGTAAGTGAGAAGCTTCTGTTTCTATGTAGCAATAGCTGGCAGACACCAGGACAGATCTCATCGAGGAGTGAGTAACCCTTTATCTCCCAGGTAATCAAGTGCAAAGCTGCTGTGCTATGGGAGACTCAGAAGCCCTTCTCCATCGAGGACATAGAAGTCGCAGCTCCCAAGGCCCATGAAGTTCGCATTAAGGTAATGCCCCCTTTGACCATCTATAAAGTTAGGTTTGGAAACCTCTGAAAATACTCCATAGACCCATCCAAAAAAACAATTAACAGCCCCTTTAAGAGGCTTTTATGACAACGAATTAATCTGTTGCTAAGGCAAGCTATTGATAACAACCCCTAAAAGTTTGAAGTGACTAAAATGTATGTTTAACATAATCCCTGAAAACTTTTTAAAATATTATGTGTTTGTCAAGTGCTAAGCATCTTGATTCCTAAAAGCAATTAATATGAGGCAGTTTCTTGGTGCTCATTTCCTATTTCTGTTTCCATAACACAGCATGAAATGTGTATATTGTTTAAAATACATATTTTAGGGAAACTTACTCACAAGATGATCATTGACGCTTAAGCTGTTTGATTGGGAAAAGATAGATGAAAGCCCAGGGGAATCTTGGACCTAAATCGAATCTTTGAATTTGTAAGCAATGGGGAATGTTAGCAAACTCCTCAGAAGCACAAGTTCAGAACACAGTGTTAAACCCCATGGTCAGGAACTTCACTGAGTGAACTCTATCTCTAATTTATAGATGGTGGCCACGGGCATCTGCCGCACAGACGATCATGCTGCTACTGGAAACTTTGTTACACCTCTTCCCATAGTTTTAGGCCACGAGGGAGCCGGTATTGTGGAAAGCGTTGGAGAAGGGGTGACTTCTGTAAAACCAGGTACAGAATCCTTTACCCTCAGGGCTTGGGTTTTGGTTCTGATGCCGAGAGACCTTCCCAAAAGAGGAAGCTGAGGCAGTGGGAGACGTTATTTACTTAGCATAAATAATTAACAGAAAGCAAAAGTCACCTTTTATTACTTAAAGGAAATATCTAATTCATTGTTAGGGACTGAGATCTCCAAAGTAACTTCTTACTTCTTTGTCACATTTTATTATGCTTCCTCAAAAAATAACTAAGATTTTTTTAAAAGTATTCATTTAATACTAAGAGAAGCACAATCACTTTGAAAAGCAACACCTGGGCAATGGAGAAATGACTCTGTGATGAAAGTCACATTCCTGTTCTTCTAGACCTCCCAGTTGGACAATTCACAACCATCTGTAACTCCAGCTCTAGAGGACGCATTGCCCCCTGCTGGCCTCCAAGGGCACCCACACACAAGTGGCATACACACACGGATACTCCCACATGAACATAAAAACCAAACAAATCCTTTTAAAAAGTAACAACAATTCACTATCAAAGTTCTCATTTTAATTTTATCCTATGAGCAAGTTTATCGTGTTTATTAGAAAATATCTATGTTGTGTTTGGTTTGATTTGAGTTTTATTGTAACTATTAGACAAAATGTCAGCTCTCTCCAACATCCTATACTAACATAGAGGTTGGCAACTCATTGATACTAAGGTATATATTTATACTTAGCAGTGAGAACATCCAAGGTTTGATTAGGCTAATATGTGGAAAGTCCCCAAGAGAAATTGAGGCACACAACAAAAGTTAACTGCTGACTGATGGAAATGGCTGTTTTTCCATTTCCCTTTTCTCTTTGGGACTCTTCAGGCACATATAAACCTGGATTGATAGCAAGGCTGGGAGGTTTTGAACCACACATGACATAGAGTGGTTGGGCCGTATCTCATGCAGACCTTTCAATGACACAACTCTCTACATGTGGGCCTCATGTGTAGGGGATACTAAAGCCACGCCTGCTAGGGGCTGACTACAGCATCCCCTATATTGCTCCTCATGTGCTTGCTTTGCTAATTCCTGGGTAGACATGTAAGTCATTTTGTTGTTTTGTTATTTCCCCTCCAGGCGATAAAGTCATCCCGCTCTTTTCTCCCCAGTGTGGAAAATGCAGGGTTTGCAACCACCCAGAAAGCAACTTATGTATAAAAAACGAGTAGGTTTCTTACTGTCTTCTTGCACAATTAGGCGGCACACTGCTTTTATTCTGTCTCATATGTTTTTTATGCCTGTGTTTCACTGACCAGTTTGGTACAACCTCGGGGGACTCTACTGGATGGCACCAGCAGGTTCACCTGCAAGGGGAAGTCAATCCACAACTTCCTCAGCACCAGCACTTACTCCCAGTACACTGTGGTAGATGAGATAGCAGTGGCTAAAATCGATGATGCTTCACCACTCGAGAAAGTCTGCCTCATAGGCTGCGGGTTCACAACTGGTTATGGCTCTGCTGTCCAATTTGCCAAGGTAAGATGGACAGTGGCCCATGGACAAAGCTACATGCATTCTGTGAAGACCAAAAGAGCAGCAATGGCTCAAGGCATCAGAGGGTGGTTTTGTAGAAGAGAAATAAGCTTCTCCAACTCCAGTGAGAATTCACTTCACACATTCGAGAAAAGATCTAGAATAATATGTACCCAGTCTCCACAGTTCAAATAGAAACTGGCCTCTCATAGAAATTATTTTAAATTTACATAGATCTTGAGCTCTAACATTTTACATATGCTGTTGTCTGCAACGCTCTGTTATGTGCCAGTCCCAAGAGACACTTTGAGCAACCAAAACATTAAAGAGTCAGAAAATGTCAAGCTGGCCATGAAAAGCTGGGGAACTATAATAGGACCAAACCAAGCCCTTTGAATGTGTGTGCCAGTTAGGAGGCCTGGGCAGTCTATGGGACCTCTAATAGTGGGATCAGTATTTACCCCTAGTGCACAAATGGACTTTGGGAGCCCATTCCCTATGGAGGGATACTATTTCAGCCCAGATACACAGAGGAGGGCCTAGGCCCTCCCCAAAATGATGACAGACTTTAATGATCCCCCATGGAAAGCCTCACTATCCTTGGAGAGCCTGTGGAGGGTTGGTTGGGGGAGGGTTGGTAGGGACATGGGAGGATGGGAGAGAGAGTGAACAAGGAGATTAATTTAAAAAGATTTATCTCTAAAAGTTCTCTCCTCAAAAATTCTTACTCCAAAAGCTCTCTTAATGTTCTCTTTAAAATTTCTCTAAAGTTCTTTCTAAAATGTCTACAAAAGTTCCTTCTTCTAAAAGTTCTACTGAGGTCTTTGCTATCCAATAAGGCCTCTAGTTTTTATATGCCCAGACACATTTAGCAACTCTCTGACAATAGGGCATGCATATCTCTCAGAACCAGAAAGGCAGGTAGGATCCTGAGAAAAGCAGGTGCCTCAAGCCTCTCCCCTGGACAAAAATTGCAAAATGTCCAGGTACACTTAAGTCTGGGGGCGGGGCATGACTTGCATTGCATTCTGATACCTCATTAAAGCCCTATATTAAAGCCTAGGTAATATGAGAACCAGAGACTGTAGCTCTTACTGCTAATGCCCCAGTGGGAAGGAATCCTTTCTCTGGGGCCCATTTGAGAATACAAATCACCCAGCATATATTTTATATATACTCAAATTCATAGTAGCAAATATTCTTGAGTTGATACCTAGAATATTAATTGCTACTTCTGTATAAAGTTTCCCAGCACCGATGGACCAAATTATGTGCATAGCATTGGGACCAAAAGGGAAGCAATTGCTCACAGGCATCAGAGGGTGTTTGTGTAGAAGAGAAATTAGACTCTCCAACTCCAGAAAGAATTCACTTCACACACTCAAGAAAAGCGCTATAACATTATGCATCCAGTTCTGGCTAGTACAAAGAGAATCTGGCCTCTCATAGAAATTATTTTAAACTTAACATCTTAGGCTGTAATATTTTACATATGCTGTGGTCTGCAATGCTCTGTATGTCCCAGTCCCAAGATACACTTTGAGTAAATAAACGTGTTTTAAAGAGTCAGAAACTGTCAAGCTGGCCACTTGGGACAAATGGGGGGTTGGTAAAGTGGAGATGTCATCTCAAGAGAGCCTAATGTGGGGAGAACTGCATAGCAGTGATACTGTCACAGTATTTGTAAAATATATACCAACACTGTTAGCTAAAGCCAGCCTGCCTGCATGGTGAAATTTCCTGAAAAGAAACTGAGTCTTAATGATGAACCAGGACTTAATGGCACTGTGGCCAGTGCAGCCCCTCTGAACTGCCTGCTGTTCCTTGAAAGAGCACCAGGATGAGGCACAGTCTTTGTTAATGGCCAGCTCTGGG